CGTTTGTTTTATTTTAATAGCTGCTAAAAAGGCTTAGTAGCTCAACATTTGGTGACCCCGACGTGATCGTATCACGCGATTTTTTCGTTTGTTTCCGGCCGCTTACTGAGATAATTCTGCCACACTAGTGTAAACGTCAGCAACTTCGTCATGCCAGGGGAAGGTGCAGATCGAGTAGCCTTTCTAAAGCTGAAAACAAAGGCCATATTCAGCAGACTGGAGAGCTTGATTAACGAGTTGGACGCAGACAAGCTACACAGTATGGATGAGTACAGTCTTTCAGCAATGCTAGAATCCTTAGGCGAATTGAAATCCAGTTTTTCTGCCGCACACACAAGCCTAGAGGAATTGGACTTCGACTCCATTGCCAGCGACCTGCCAAGTAACTTCGATGCTGCTCTAATCAACCTTAGAGCTACACTGCAACGCGAGATTGGTAAACGTAGTGCCTCGCAACATTGCTCCACGCTCAGAATGAACTCCAGTGAGACCCAATCAATCATTGTGAATGCTAATAGCTCACGCTTGCCATTGCTGACACTGCCTAAATTCAGTGGCGCCTACACCGAGTGGACAAATTTCTATTCAATGTTCACGTCAATAATCGACAAGGACAGCGACCTCACCAACATCGTTCCTGTCTGAGCGGCGCTGCCCTTGACACCGTGCGCTCGCTGGAAATAAACGACGCTAATTATAACACTGCATTAGATCTTTTACAAAAGCGCTTCGATAACAAACGTCTTATATTTCAGGCACACGTCAGGGAGATATTTGGGCTAGAGAGGGCAGATTCAAACGTAACCAAGCTACGAGAGCTGACAGATAAGGTCACAGCACACATACGCGCATTGCAGTCGCTCGCATCCAATGGGAAGATCGCAGATGGCATCATCGTACAATTGGTGATCCAGAAACTCGACAAAAAGACGCAAGCTAAATGGGAGGAGAGTTCATCGATCAGCGAACTGCCATCCTGGGATCAATTAGCTATGTTCTTGGAGAAGCGCTGCAGAACACTCGAGAACGTTGAGCATTCTATGCAGACACCGACTGGTCAGGCGGTAAAAGCTAACAAGAACGTGAGTACTGGTCAGAGGAAATCCTTTGTTGCTTCCAACGGCTCAAAAGGTGTTTGTGTGTTTTGTGGATCTGCCGAGCATGCAATTTATAGCTGTCAACGCTTCGCAAATTTGTCTCCGAACTTACGCCTGAGGGAAGTTAAGAAGCTTTCCCTTTGTCTTAACTGCCTAAAGACTGGGCATCAAATTCGTGACTGCAAATCCGGATCGTGCCGCGCCTGTCAGTCGAAACACCACACGCTCTTGCATTTCGAACGCTCAACTGCATCGTTAATCAATAGTCAAGCCGAAGCTTCGCCGGCAGCTACAGTTCAATCCAACGCTATGACTGCATCGTTATCTGTGTCGCCTAGTGCCCCAGTACATCCTTCTGATGCTGTGTTCCTAGCTACTGCCGTCGTTCTGGTAAAAAATCGTGCTGGAAGCTTCGTGCCTTGCAGGGCGCTTTTAGATTCTGGCTCCCAGTTACACTTTGTCACAACTCGCCTTGCAAACCAATTGCAGCTTGTAAAATCAAAATCTTCTGCTACAGTATCTGGCATTGGAGATGCCAATTTCTCAACGGAGGGTTACTCAGTCGACCTCGTACTGAAGTCGCGGACTTCAGATTTCTCAACAAACATAACAGCTGTTGTTGTGCAAACCATAACCGACTGCTCCGTGAGCACCAACGAGTGGAATGTTCCGTCGAATATACAACTAGCTGATCCTGGGTTCAACTTACCGCAGCGAATTGATCTGCTCATTGGAGCAGCATTGTTCTTCGATCTGCTATGTGTGGGGCAGATACGGTTGGCATACGGTTTACCACTCCTTCAGAAAACACGCCTCGGTTGGGTGCTATCTGGAGGGGGGCAACAAGCTCCAAAACTATCATCTTTTGTGGTGCGACGGAAGTCCTCCAGTGATATTATTTCCACTCGGTTGGAAGATTTAGTGCGTTAGTTCTGGGAAAGAGAGCACAACTTCGAGCCGATCTCTAAGGCCTCCCAAGAAGATATCGACTGCGAAGCCCACTTCCGGGAAAATTATTTGCGATTGTCATCAGGCGAATACTCAGTTCGTCTTCCCATGAAGCGTGGTGTGGAGGCCCTTGGAGACTCCTATTTGCAAGCTCGTCAACGCTTCGAAAGTCTTGAACGAAAATTCGCTCGTAACCCTGAGCTTAAAACAGAATATAGTAAGTTCATAAAGGAATATCTGGACCTTAATCACATGTCGCTAGTTACCAATGAGGTTTTTCAACAATGCAAGTATTTTCTGCCGCATCATTGCGTTATCAAGGATGACAGTAGCACAACAAAGCTGAGAGTGGTTTTTGATGGCTCTGCATCCACTACTTCGGGCTTTTCGCTGAACGACCTACTCATGGCAGGCCCAACTATTCAGCCGAAACTTTTTAATATCCTTATTAGATTTCGTACTTTTCCCATAGCACTTACTGGGGACATCTGTAAGATGTATAGGTGTGTTCGCGTCACCCCATCAGATAGCATGCTCCAATGCATATTGTGGCGTGAATCTCCTCAGGAAAACTTTGCCATCTATAAGTTAGACACGCTGACTTATGGAACTAAGCCTGCGTCATTTCTGGCCATACGTGCCATGCACCAACTCGCAGCTGACGAATCCTCGACTTACCCCATTGGTGCAGAAATAGTGCGTCGAGACTTCTACGTAGATGACTTGATATCTGGAGGCGATTCGATGGAAGAAGTACTGAATATCAAGCTACAAACAACTAGCCTCCTTGCTCGAGGAAACTTTAAGTTACGCAAGTGGTGCTCTAATAGTCCAGATATCCTTCGTGATATACCTGACGTAGACAAGGAACGTTTCCTTAAGTTTGACGATGGCAGTGACATCACCAAAGCTCTGGGACTAGTTTGGGATCCGGTCAAGGACAAGCTGCTATTTTCGTTTGTGCCACAACGAGAACTCGGTAAAAACTCAAAACGCTCTGCGTTGTCTACTCTAGCTCGCTGTTACGATCCCCTTGGACTAATGGGCCCTACGCTGACCAAGGCGAAGATTCTTCTGCAACGCATGTGGAGAGACAAGCTTGAGTGGGATGAGAGTCTACCGCAATCGTTAAACACCGCCTGGTCTGCCTTTTGCAGCGGGTTTGCAGACATACAGCACCTATCATTTCCTCGTTACGTCTTGCAACCTGGGGCCATTACAGAAATTCATGCATTTTGCGATGCAAGCCTTGAAGCTTATGGGGCTTGCGTTTATACGCGTTCAGCCAAGGATAGTAAGGTACAAGTGCACCTGTTGTGTTCGAAGGCCCGTGTCGCTCCACTGAAGACTATCACCGTGCCCAAGCTGGAACTCTGTGCAGCAACACTGCTGGCACAACTCATGGGTGAGTTTACAAAAATGAAGCTTTTTAACTGTTCATTTCATTGTTGGTCAGATTCCTCCACTGTCCTCTCGTGGCTGCGAGAAGAACCATCGAAATTTAACGTATTTGTCGCTAACCGAATTTCCACCATACATCAATTAACGGAGGGCATGCGGAGGCACTATGTTCCGACAGCAATGAATCGGGCGGACATTTTATCCAAAGGAGCTACCCCGCAGGAACTTCTAGGATCTTCACTTTGGATGCACGGCCCGTCATTTTTGCGAGAAGTGGAGGGCAGCTGGCCGCGCATGTGTCTACCACAACCAAAACTTCCAGAACTTCGACAAAAGGTGTTGCTTGCCGCACATAACCGCAATGACATTTCGCTTTCGTTCAAGTACATTAATTCATTTGGAACAATGCAGCGCATTTTTGGGTACGTCAGCAAATTTGTCAATATTACAACATCGCCAAGCTCTTCGCAGCTCACAGCCGCAGATATTCACCATGGAACTCAACTGCTTATTCGCTTAGTACAAAGAGCGCAACTTTGGCCGGAGTACACGGCATTACAGGCCAATAATTGCGTCCCGAGCTCGAGCAGCATTGTTTCGCTATCACCATTTCTTGATGACTTTGGAATTATTAGAGTCGGCGGGCGATTAAAAAACTCTATGCTTAGTTTTGAATCGCGCCACCCATGCATTATTCCGAAGGATCATCCACTGACATTTAGTATAATAACCTTTTTTTCATCGCAAACAACATCACGCAGGTCCTCAAGCTTTACTCGCCTTCATTCGAATGCAGTTTTGGCCCATAGGTGGTCGGAAAACAGTCACTCGAGTCCTACAAAAATGCATTATTTGCTGCAAATCGAGACCGCGCCTTGTCGAGCACATAATGGCCGACCTGCCTAAAGAGCGAATTCAGGCCTCGCGCCCATTCATAGTCACCGGTGTGGACTACTGTGGGCCATTTTATTACAAGCCTGAAGTACGCAATAAATCGCCCCACAAATGTTATGTAAGCGTTTTCATTTGCTTCGCCACAAAGGCTGTATGGATGGAGTTGGTAAGAGACCTCTCAACAGGTGCTTTCATTGACGCGCTAAAACGATTCATCGCTACGCGTGGCATACCCAGCTGCATCTGGTCTGACAATGCGACGAATTTTGTAGGCGCCAAGAACGAGCTTAAAGAACTACGGAACCCTCAGCCCTCAGCGAGAAACACCGCAGCGAAGTCCACAACTTTTGCCTCAGTAATGGCTTTGATTGGCGTTTCATCCCACCTCGCTCTCCGCACTTTGGCGGTTTGTGGGAAGCGGCCGTAAAAACAGCCAAACAACATTTCTATCGTTCCGTTGGCTCATCACTGCTTGGCTTCGATGAATTGCGTACTTTGGTATGTCAAATCTGTGCTGTAATTAACTCTCGTCCTCTCGTACCCCTTTCAGAAAACCCAGAGGATTTAGATGTGCTAACGCCAGGCCATTTTTTGATTGGTGGTTCTCTGACAGCTCTTCCGGAACCGGATCTAACGACGCTAAACTACGACCGACTTGATCGATGGCAGCGTGCAACATACATTAAACAGGTTTTTTGGAAGCGGTGGACTCAAGAGTATCTAACTGTTCTACAGCAACGCGCAAAGTGGCGTTTACCTCATGCCAACATTCAAGTCAATGATGTCGTATGCATAAAG